GCTGCACAATGGTCCATGAGGTACCTACAGAGGAGTCCAGGCCCAGGCCCAGGCAAGAGGCCTCCGGGGAGGAGAGGCAGATGAGTGGGAGCCTGGGGGTTGTCTCTGTTCTTCCTTTGGAGAGGGCTACAGGAGGGCTGTCCACAGGCAGAGGCCGCAGGCTGCAGAGATTGAGTTCTGGGTCCCTGTGTGGGCAAGGCTTCACCTGGTGTTCCTTACGCACGCGCCAACCTGACCAGTTCGGGAAGCTGAAGGAAGCCTCGTGCTCTTGCAATGGACCTCCGGTGCCTTCTCCTGGGGAAGGTTAACTTTGTGCTGACCTTAAAGGAGAATGCCATCTCTTATCATGGGACATGCTCTGCGGCGCATTGGGCCACGAGAGGCTGTAACGCGCTGACACCACCCAGGGAGGCGGGAAGGATGGGCCCCCCTCCTGGCCCGGTTCCTGGTTGAGTGCCCCACTTGTCCACCTGCCTGGCCCCCCTTAACCTGGAATGTGTACCCTGCCCAGTTCCTCTCCAGGCCTCGGCCTTGCTCTCCACTCCAGCCGGGTACTGTTGCCAGGGCAATGTCTTGGCTGCAGCACCGGTGGCACCATCCTCCTCCCATTCTCCATGTCTCCCTCCCTGGCTGCTCTGAGCCCGTGACTGACCACCATGGTGATTGGTGTCGGGGATGCCTTCCCCGCCGCACCTTTCTGACCCCAGAGCACAGAACACAGCAAGCGTATAATAAGTGTATGGCCCGGGAGCTGTCTGCACATGCGTGAGCTGGCGCTCTGGCCCTGACTCACCCAGCCTGAGCCCAGACAGGCCGCCGAGAGGGCCCCATCTCTGTAGGCAGATGAGGGCTGAGGGACCTGGAGTCACTCCTGTTGGGTCCCCAGAGGGTCTGAGAAGAAGGGAAACAATGACACTGGGCCAGCAGGTGATATGGAGGTTAAGACACTGGGTCCCATAGAGCTGACTGTGCAGTTGGAGTCCCTGGACCTGGAGGCTGAAGGAACACTCCAGGCCCATGTGTGTTCATACTCCAAATCCCGACAGGAGAATGGAAGAGAAGGGATTATGGCATGGCCATCCTCCCAGAAGGGATTTCTCACTTTCTCTCTCTCTGGTGAGTGCAGAAAAACCAAAACCAAAAAACAGATGATGCTGGGCTTCAGGACTGGACAGTCTTCAGTGTCTGAGAGACAGGGGAAGGGGGATGGGAAGGCTCTGAGGAGGAAGGAGCCTCCTCTGGTCCTGGCAGATGTCGAATTTGGAGCAGCAGCAGGAGGGTGTTGAAAGGGGCCCGATGGGGCCGGCCAGTGGTGTGATGGTTAAGGCACTAGATCCCATACGACTGACTATGCAGTTTCAATCTCAGACCTGGTGGCTTGAAAAACCAGCCTGGTATGTGTGTACAAGTACCCAAAGTCCCATGAGGAGAATGAGAGCCAAGGAACTGTGGTGTGGCCATCTCCCCTGGGGATACTTTCTCACTGTCTCGCTCTCCTTCTCTCTCTCTCCAAGGAGCACACATGCCCTAGAGCAAACCGGAAAAAATAAAAAAGGACTCAGCAGGATGATCTGGGGCTGGGGCAAGGGAATTGAGAGGGGTAGCAGGAGCCCTCTTGGGTGTGTTCTGGCAGGCCTTGGGCTCTGGGGCCTCTTGAATTCAAGCCCAGCCCCTCAGCTCTGCTATGCGTCTTTGGGTAAATGGCTTGCCCTCTGTGAGCCTCAGTTTCTCTACCTGTAAAATGGAGGAATCTAGCCAAGTGCCCGCTTACAGGGCAGTTCTGAGAACTGGATGGGCTAGCACAGAGGAAGTGCTTCATACAATGCCTGGTGCAGCCAGCGAGTCCTGTCATCACTGTCACCACGTGTCAGAGTCCTGCTTTCTCCTCACAAAGAGGGCACACAGTAGTCCAGAGTGGTTGAAGGAGCTGCCCAAGGCCACACAGCTTGAGAGGTCAGTGGGTGGGATTGGGGCTCAGGTCCCTGAACCCATTCAAGGGGGTTTCTCCTGCCTTCCCTGCCCCATGTCTTTGTCCCCCTCCCCAGTACTCAGGGTGTCCCTGGGGGGCAACAGGGAGGACCAGGTGGCTGGAGCCAGAGCACACCGGGTACATTGGGAGCAGGTAGGTGAATGTGAGGCCCGCCTGGGGCCAGATCAAGTTGGGATGGACGGGGCTGTCCTGCCTCGACCTGGCTTCAGCCATGCTGTGGAACGTGTTTCCCTCTGGCCTTGGTGGCCCCATGAGTGCTGTGGCTTTCTCTGTCCTTGAGGTCTGTGGAAATGCCAGTCCCCTAGAATTCCTTTTGCCTGGGACTGGTCACCAAACTCAAAGGCCCTCGAGGTGGCCTGAGCAGAAGTCGAGCCTACCAATATCGCTCCTACAGAGCAGAGTGGAGGTGGCAGCCAAGGCCTGGGTGTGCCCAGCTCTTTGCCTGGCTTGCCTTGTGACCCTAAGGTCACGCTGACCTCACTGCTCCTCAGGGTTGGACTCAGAGAGAAAGCTCTTCTACCTGACACTTGCCATGCCCTGGCATCTGTCCCAGGGCCCCTCGAGGATACCCCACTTGGCCATTAGCTCCTCTCTGTAATGAGCTTTGGACACAAGTCCCTAGAGGCCCACCCATGTTTCCCAGGCTTCCCACTTACTGCCACTCCCCCACGCCTTCCCCTGCCCTGAAGAGCTGGCCTCACTTGTCCCTCTGGTGTCAGCTCAAGGAAGGGGTCCCCCTGTCCTGTCCTTCCATCATTGCCCACCAACCCCAGTTCTGTGGCTCCCACCACCCTTGTCTCCCCTGGGAATGACTTAGTTTTGTAGCTGGCAACTTGGATCATGCCCTTCCCTTTGGGCTCCAGGAGCCTTCTCAGCTGCCTTGTTCATTCTGGTAAACCCAGTGCCTGCACAGGCCTAGCACATAGTAGGTGCTCAGTAAATGGCATGCCTACTGTGTGCCCAGCCTTGTGGGAGGGGCTGATTCTTTGTGTGTGTGTGTGTG